AACCCCAAACCCCAAACCCTAAACCCTAAGCTCTAAACCCTAAACCCTAAACCGTAAACCCAGTCTGCCAAGAGCGCGCGCCTCTGCGCCGTCAGCCTGTGCCAGCGACCTGAGCAGCAGGGGCTTAGAGGTTAGGATTTGGTAGGCTAGGGTTTCGGGTTTTTGGGTTTCGGGTCGCAGGGTTTTGGGCTTTAGGCTTTAGGCTTTAGGGTTTAGGGGGGGGGGGTTCGGGCTCGAGCGTCTAGGGCTTCGTAGTTCAGGGCTTCCAAGGGCACGAACCCTCAGAGAACTGAGGGCTGCACGCTTTCTCCGCCTCAGAACGCAGGTGGTTTAGGCTTCTCGGGCCTCTAGGTTTAGGGTTTAGGGTTTAGGGTTTAGGGTTTAGGGCTTAGGGTTTAGGGTTTAGGGTTTAGGGCCTCTTAAGGCCTCAACCCTGAACCCCAAACCCGTAACCCCGCAACTGCAAACTCAAACCCCCAAACCCTGGACTGCAGGTATCGAAGGGCAGGCACAAACCAGCTCAACCCTGAACCCTGCAATTGCACCCGAAACCCCACGACTCTAAGCGCCAAAACCTCGACGCCTTTGACACCACCCTAAACCCTGTGCCCTAGACCCTAAACCCTAAACCCTAAACCCTAAACCCTAAAGCAAAAACCGTAAAATGCCCGAGAGGTGCTCAACGCGACCAGCAGCTTGGATTTCAATTCCGAGGCAATTGCACAAGGAGTCCATACACACACACACACACACACCCACAGACACACAGACACCAAAGGCTTTAAGTCGGAAAGGCTGCCGTGGGGTTCGAGGATTATGGTTGAGAATCATTTTTTTTTGGGGGGGGGTTAGTTTCTTGAGGGGGGTTAGGGTTTGTTAGAGTTCTGGTGTTTCGGTTTTAATAAGCACACTGGTATAGGGGTTCTAGGGCTTTGGGGTTGTAGGGATTTTGTTTGGAGGGGGCCTTTAACAAAGTCTTAGGGGTGTTTGCTGGGCTTCCAACTTCCAACAACCAGGGCGGGCACCCGCAAGCACCAACCCCCAAACACAAAAATCCAGCTACAAACCCAAAAGTGATACGTGGCATTACGCAGCCGAACCCTCACGGAGCAATTTTTAGGGGTACCCCATACTCAATTCCCCGCATGAGCCTTGCTAAGTTCAGGGTCTTCAAGACTGTGGAGTGGCAGGGTTTGGGGACACACACACACATATCGCCCAACCCCAGCAACTTGAAACCCTAAACCCTAAACCCTCAACCCTAAACCCTAAACCCTCAACCCTAAACCCTAAACCCTAAACCCCTGCAACCCTGAAACGCGGCAAGGCAACCTTCATCCTGGCTAGCTCCTCCTCAGCAGCCTTGGCGGCAGCGGCTGCCTGCACCATCGTGGGCTTCGAGATTGTGTTCATGTCTGTGTCTATGGCATCACGTGGACATAGACAAGCGGGGTGCTGACCCTAAACCCCGAACCCTAAACCCCAAACCCTAAACCCCAGACCCCAAACCCTGAACCCTGAACCCTAAACAGCCTAAACCCTCCCAAAGCGGGCTTTCAGTGCCTTCGTTTGGAGAGCTGTTGGGCTCAGGGTCATGATGGTCTCATGAACTTGCTTAGGGTCTATGTAGGGCTATTAAGGTTTAGGGGGTTTAGGGCTTAGCTGGGGTTTAGGGTTTAGGGCTAAGGGTTCAGGGTTTAGTGGTTTAGGTTTATCCAAGCATCCAGGCCTTATAAGGTCCTGGTGAAGATAGGGGCCTTTCTCTCAGCCTACACTTTGGGCACAAAAGAGGTCCCCGAGATGCAAGACCCACTTCGAAGTCCTGTCATCTATCCGTGAAAGAAAAGGGGCTTCGGGTTTAGGGTTTCAGCCCGATTGGTTCGATAAGCCCTGTAAACACTGTAAGTGCCATAAGCCCTGTAAAGTCCTATAAACGCTTTAAGCCCAATAAGCCCCATATTAACCGATTTAGGGCTCAAGGGCTTCAGCGGCAGAAGCTTCAAGAAACACACCCCTCATTCCTCAAGTCATCCCCCTCGAGCCACGGACTCCTCAACTTAGCCCGGCATTGAACTCGCATCTAGGGTTTAGGGTTTAAGGGTTTAAGGGTTCCTTTGAATAGGGCAAGGGCTCGATGATGGGTCTGTTGCCACCCTAACCTACGAGGTGTTTGGATAGTCTAGCCCGTATTTGGGAGGGTACAGTACCTGAGGGACTACACGAGCGGCTGCCAAACTTCGTACTTGGGCTCCTGAGGACTCTCTTTCAAGCATTCACATGTATCTACAGGGCTTTGGCACTGAGGGTCTCTTGCTTCATGCATGAAGGTGTCGCTTTGCAAGCTGTATCGCAACATCACCACGCAACAATCCATCAGCTTGGGGGAAGGGAAGGGAGAGGGCGGGAGTTTACAAAGATATGGGACCCCGAATATAGACCCCCAAGTAGTAGGTTTCCTTTATGAGGACCCCAAGAAGGCACCCCTATTTTCGTAAACCCCATATGAGCCTTGTCTGCAGCTGCAATGGCTGCCAAGACTTCGGGAGCCTGCACATGGGCTGAGGTGCTTGAGGGTTTAGGGTTTAGGGTTTGGTCTTCGAAACGCATCGAAAAGAGAGGGGTACCCTTCTTGGGGTTCCAAGAATAAGGAGTATCGTATTATGGGCAAATAGGGAATGTCCAGGGGGCGCATCGGATTTTGCAAGGGAGTTTGGAGGCCAAAATCGCCGCTGAACGTGCTTTGTTTGGGGCTATTTGAAGGGCATTGCGGTCCAGTGGCCAGCCTCAAACCCTAAACCCTAAACCCTCAAACCTAAACCCTAAACTCTAAACCCTAGACCCTATAACCCTAAACCCTAAACACTAGACCCTAAACCCTCAACCCACGGCGGCCTGGCCAGCCACAGCGCGCATCGCCGTCATCGCCTCCTCTTGGGCCTTCTCTCTTCTTTCGGCCTCGCGCAACGGGGTTTAGGGTTTAGAGTTTAGGGTTTAGGGTTTAGGGTTTAGGGTTTAGGGTTCAGGGTTTAGGGTTTAGGGTTTTTTTGTGTTTGTTTCTTGTTTTGGAAGGGGGGGGGGGTTGGGCATTTGTTTGTGTTTTTTGTCCATTTGCTTTTGCATGACACTTTTGCTTTGTGATGGCTTTCCAGGCCTGGCCCAAAAAGTGTGGAACGAAGTTTTGAACGAAAGATTTTGAGCGAAAGTTTTTGAACGAAAGTTTCTGTGTGGACTTTTGGTGCCTTGAAGACCCATCTCTTGAAAGCCTTTTGGCCTTTTTGGGTTCTTTGAAGGGTTACTGTAGCACATCGACATTGCAATCTTGTATTGTAGCCCAATCTCTGAGAAGTTGAAGGATTTGTAGCCACTCGAAACTGCAAGTTCTCAGTGAATCACATCAAGTCCTATTCATCCTGGCCTTGAGGGGTTAGTGTTTAAGGGTACAAGTGTGGTTCAAGGTTTCCTATCAACCCTAAACCCCCAGCCCTAAATCCTGGTCTGACATCCTAAAGGTCCTAAAGATGCCATGGCCCGAAGCCTCTAAATGCCCCCTCCGAAAAGTCAAACATCTTGCGGTTTAGGGTTTAGGGTTTAGGGTCAGTATAATGTCCCTGTTCCTGCAAACCGGTAACATCCTTGAACCCTAAACCTATTGGTTCTTAGTGGGGAAACGAAGGAACTAGGTATCTTACAGTATCCCTGTTTAGGGAAGTTTATATGCCTAACTCCCTCATTCCCTACTGGGAGCTCGCACCAGCAAGCAAAGACCCAACCCTAAACCCTAAACACTGAACCCCAAACCCCAAACCCTAAACCTCAAACCCAACTTCCGGATGCCTCTTCAGGTGACGGGACGCTGGCCTGACGTGACAACTGTGAGGGCCTTTCCCCAAACCCTACGAAGTATGGAGGTTTATAGGGTTTAGGGTTTAGGGTTTAGGCTTTGGGGTTCCTTCCCAAACCCTAATTGGGTCTTCAAGCGGCTTGCTATTTTGCGAATATTCTGTTGCCGTTTTTCACTCCGAAGTTTGCGGTCTTTCTCACCTACTTACGTGCAGCGATGGGAAGCCGAAACGCGAATATGTTGTAGATTGTCATTTGAGGGGGCTGCATCCTCATAGCCTGCAGAAAAACGTATAACAACATGAGGGGACGTGCAACCTCTGGAACGTCTCCCGCCGTGGAGCGCCCGAAACAGAACACTCTGATCAACCCAACCCTAAACCCTGAACCCTGAACCCAGAACCCTGCACCCTAAACCCTAAACCCCAAAATGGTGAACATAAGCAGAATGCCCCAAGGGCCTGATACCCTAAACCCGGTTGGGGTTTAGAGGTTAGGCTTCAGGGAAGCCTCAGGCCTAAACCCTAAACCCTAAACCCTATGCCCCAAACCCTAAACCCTAAACCTCACCCCTATGAACCCTAACCCCTTTAACCCCCAAACCCTACCCAAACCCCCACCCCAAGACACCCTCACTGGCTCAGACCTCACAAGGCACTTCACCCGGCAGCGGCAAACGATCCTCCGCCGCCGGGGTGGGTGCGACCTGAGTCATCCGTTAAAGGTGTCGGGAAAAAGGGTTTAGGGTTTAGGGTTTAGGGTTTAGGGTTTAGGGTTGAGGGTTTAGGGTTTAGGGCAAAAGGGTTAGGGCAAAGCTTTCTTTTTACCGAGTGTAATTTAGAGGATTATGGTTATGATTCTGGTAGTTAAGGGAAACGGGGGAAATCCTATTTAGACTGCAAACCCTGAAGCCCTAGACCTGGAACTTTGAGACGACTTACTCTCTTGGGCGTCTTCTGCTTCTGTCGTCGCTGAGCTCAGGCAAGGACTTGGGGCGGCGCCTGGCAAGTGCAAAGGCACCAACATGCTTATAGGCATAGTGTCCCAGCAGGCTAAAGCTCTCCATGCTGAACGTGGAACCCTAGCAAAAAAACATAATCTTAGCTGTTTCTTAGAACTTCAAGTGCCGAAAAACATGCCTATGCTCTAGGGTGTCGGCTTTAGCTTGTGGCATTTCTTGCCTCGGCCTTGATGCACTTAGTTTCACGTAAGCACGGAACCGTGAGCCCTAAACCCATTTAGCAATGGTTCAACATACATGTCGGAAAAAACAGCCATCATACAGGTTCACCTGTTAAGATAGGATTCTCCTTGAAAGGGATTCTTGAAGCATCCAATCGTCCAACAACCCCAGCATCAGCCCACACTCCTTAGCTCTCCTAAGCCGATCATTCTAACCCTCAAACCTAAAACCTACTTGGACTTTCACGGGTACTCAAAAAGCAGGGATCTGAGTCCCCCAAATAAGGCTGCAACCATAGCTACCCTACAAGTACCCATGAACCCCAGTACCTAAAGTTTAGGGTGTAAAACCCTAAACCCTAAACCCTAAACCCAAAAGCGTGCGCCTGGGGCACAGGAGGTGGCGGGTTCGCCTTCTCCGATGCCTCGCCCGACTCGACTGGCGCCTGGGCCAGTTTCTCAGGGAACTTGTATCTTACCATACACCTGGGACCCTCTTTACCTGCAGGGTTTAGGGTTTGGGGGCTAGGGTTTAGGGTTTAGGGTTTAGGGGTTTAGGGTTTAGGGGAGCCCTCAAATTTGAGGACCCTCTTTGCCTGCAGTCTTATGGGTTATAGCTACTAATTAAGGGTAGTTGCTACTAAACTATAGGAAGATAGAGTCCCAGGTATTCTATATTAAGGATTCTGGAGAATGTATGTATGCATGCAATGGGGTTAAGCTCGAAATTCAGCGAGATGCCCCAACTAGCAGTTCATGTGCTTTGGAAGGAGGCAAACCAAAACATCCCTAGGCACCTCAACCTGATCCGAGTTGAACAAGCATGAGACGAAACACCTTTCACGCTAGATGAACCCTAAACCCTGGACCCTAGACCCTAAGCCCTGTTAGGGTTTACGGTTTAGGATTTCGGCTCCATCTACCCTCATGGACCCATTGGGCTTGCACCAAGAGCACGTCAAAAGGATCCCAAGCTAAGTGCTTGTTTGGTCCAGACCCCCCCTATTATTGTCGGAAACCCCCAGGGTGCCTGGTGTCTGCAACGTCTCCAACCTATCCGCAGCTAAACCATAAACCCTAAACCCTGAACCCCTAAACCCTAAAACCCTTGATGTCATTTCCCTGAGGCCGTTGCAGGCACCTCTGGCGCGCCAGCCACAGGGGCCTGCCCGGAAGATCTAAGGTCCTAGTGATGGCTCAAGAACCCCCCCCCCCCCCCCAAAAAAAAAAAAAAAAGATAAATAATCCTTCTTATAAGGGCAATATGGGGATTTTAATTTTTCTTTTTTTGGGGGTTCTTAAGCCAATAGTAGGGTCATGGCTACGAGATCTTCCAGGGAGGCCAGCGCTCAACAAGCTTCACTTCTTTTTGGGTTTATGGGGCGTTAAGGTTTGGGGTTTAGGCCGCCTGAAATCCCGAGGCATCGGCCCCCCCCCCCCCCCCAAAAACCCAAAATTCGGTTTAGGGTTTAACCCTAAACCCTAAACCCTAAACAAGTTGCATGAGGGTTTCAGGCGGATTTGAGTCGCCAGTTCTGAAAGGGTTTAGCCCGGGCTCCCAAAGGCCTCCTCTTGCCAAGCTGCTTGTGCCAGGCACTGCCTCTGTTCCGCTTGGGGTTTAGGGTTTAGGTTTAGGGTTTAGGGTTTAGGGGTTTAGGGTTGCATGAGGGTTCGTGGTTGAGGGGTTCAGGATTCTTCAGGCAAGTAAGAAAGGTGTGCTGAGTAGCCTCATTCTGCAGGGATAGTGGGTTGACGGCACTGGTCATTTGAAGGGCTTGGGGTTCTTGCTCCTAACACCTGCATCTTCTTTTTCTTCGCAGGGCCCCACTGGAATCCATAATGGTTGGATTGGCAAAAGCATACTGAAAAGGAGGGCTTTGGGGTTTTCAGTCAGCCCTGACCATTTCCATTTTCTGATCATGCACCACCCCCTAGCACCGAAACCATAACAACCTCTACCTCAACCTTCAACTCACCAAAATACCCAACATCATGAACCCAAATGATGAAAACCATACTAGAAAACCATGGGGCTATACATGGCTTCCATGGTATGGGTGGTGCATGATTAGAAAACGGAAATGGACATTGCTAACCTTTTTAAGGTAAGGCATGAGGCAGCGTAAGCTTTTCTGCTGCCCCTGCAGGACCTTCCCCTCCCCCTCATACTGGGTCTTGGGCGAAGCAGTAAACAACAGATGCCTACTGTAGCCAGAAGGACCCTGAACTCTAAAATCCTTGCCCACTTCAGCCACAGGGACAGTAAAAAGTTGGTCTTGTCCGGGTTGGCCCCACAGACCACGTCTACTGCGGACACCTGGGTGGTCCGGTTTGGGTCTCGTGGCGCTTCCCCCTGAAAAGTAGGGTTAGAGATTGCAAATTAACAGTTTTACTGTGAACAACGAACCTACCCATCCTGGTAAGCCCCCTGAGAATCTAAATCGCAGTCGATAGCCAAAGTACGTTTCTTATGTACATGGGTAGTTCTCTAAATTGGGGGTCCCTTTTATGGGGTCCTCTTTACAAGGGTGCCGTATTAGAAAGGGGCCCAAAAAGGGAGCCTATTTAGAGGACCATCTTCAAGGTTGATAAGCCGTACACACTCACTAAGCCCCATACCCTTCTGTGGCTCTAACTGCCACATCCAAGTCTGCTCCGCCACGGACGGAAAAAGGAGACGGTCAATAGTGGCATGAGCGAAGTCAATAAGCGAAGAGATGAGGAACATGGCGATGTGATGATGAGGGTGTCTGAGTTCACTAGCAAAGCAGCCATAAAGGTCACAAAAGGTGTCACACATGAAAACCCTAGACCCTAAACCCTAAACCCCTAAACCCTAAACCCGCAATGACGTAGCTCCTGGCGTTGTCTTGTCAAGAACCCTGTGGCATGGTATGAGTGGATGGGTGAGAGAATGAGGGTGTGACAGGCTCAAAACCCCGAGAGCCCCTCAGCCCTAAACCCTAAACTGAAAAACTCCATGGTTGATGTAGGGCGGGATCTTATAGGTTTAGGGTTTAGGGTTGAGGGTTTAGGGTTTAAAGGGTTTGGGATGCCGTGCGTGTGTGAAGTGTGTGAGCCAGCGCGATGTTGCGGTCCCAACGGTGGGTGCTTAGGAACAGAGGTAAGGCAGATTCAGGGTGCAGGGGTTTTGTAGCCGTACGTTAGAGGTTTAAGCGTTCTAGACCCTGAACGCTGAACCCTAATTCCTGAACTATTAGGGTCCCAAAAGCCCAGTACAAAAGCCCTCAAAGCGCTCACCTCCTCCAGCACTACTGCCTGCGCCGGCAGTGCTCCTGCGACGAGTGCGATCCAACCTCACAGTTCGGGTTAACAGTTTAGGGTTTTTAGGGTTAGAGTTTCGGGGTTTGGGGTTGACCCTAAACTGGTAAAGCGACACTCAAAACCCACCCGATATCGAAAACACTACATCGTGAGCCCTGGACCTAAGCTAGGATGGTGGGATGGTCCAGGCATTGAATTCTTCTGCTGGGGGGGGGGGGGCGGGGGGTGGGGGGGGGGGGGGGGGGGGGGGAAGTAGCAAGGCAGGATCTTCAGTCTTCAGATGTAGCTAGAGAAACCTATACTCCCCTTTAGAACCTTAACTAACAAATATTTCTAATGTCCTCTTGGGCTTTAGATAAACAATATAAAAAAATTCCCAAGGAGGATATAGAAACTGTGATGCTGGGACGATGGCAAGAACATGGCAAAGGCAGCTGCAGGTCGCAGGCAGTGTAGGGACGTGGGGCGCGTCGGGCGCAAGGAGGGAATGGATGCCAGCGACAGTCGGAGCACCGGACCCAAACTGGCATTGGGGAGATTGTGGCAAAGCACTCTAAACCCTAAACCCTAAACCCTAATTCCAAAACCCTAAATCCCAAACCCTAAACCCTAAACACTAAACTCTAAACCCTAAATAAACAAACAGCCTCGCATGTACTTGTGGTGAGGCTTGCCTGCACCCTTCGGCCTTATGAAGGCCTCGGGAAGTCTGTGGGCTCTGGGACCTTCAAGAACGCGAAGTTTGCTCCAAGCTTGGAGCAAGGCTGCCATGGCCACGGAGTTTAGGGTTTAGGGTTTAGGGTTTAGGGTTTAGGGTTTAGGGTTTACCCAAACCCAAACCCTAGGACGACACGCAGAGCCCTCTCCACTGCCCATGGAGGATCCCTCGGATGAAATTCTGAGCACGATCAGAAGCCCCAAGCCGCAAATCCTAAACCTTGGGATGTTCCCCTTATTCAAAACAGTCCTTCATCAGGATTACAATCGGGGGTACTATAATCCCTATTGAGGACTGCTAGTAGAAGGGGGAATGTCCCAACCCAAACCCCCAAAACCCCACAAGTTCGAGGCGAGGGCGGAGTGCTAGCGGCGCTTCTGGCGCCACCGGACTGTGACTCTAAAGACCCCAAACCCGACACCCTAAATCCTAACCCCTAAAACCTAAACCCTGAACCCCTAAACCCTAAACCCCAAACCCCAAACCCTAAACCCTAAACCCCAAACCCTAAACCCCAAACGTGAACGGGACATGTCCACACTTGCGGGTGCGGGACGCTGGAGGAAGTCGACCTGGACTTGGAGATGCGACTTCTGGGGTATAGGGTATGGGGGTTTAGGGTTTTTTAGGGTTTAGGGTTAGGGAGTTGGGGTTTAGGGTTTAGGGTTTGGGGTTTAGGGTTTAGGGTTTGGGGTTTAGGGTTTGGGGTTTGGGGTTTGGGGTTAGGGGTTTAGGGTTCAGGGTTTGGGTTCAGGGTGTCTGGTGAAAGCTATGCGAGCACGAGAAGCCGTGCACAATGTCAAATGCAGCAACAACAGGGTACTACGTTTTGGGTATTTAAGCTATTTGGGGGGTGGGGGGAGTTAACGCTTGGGAGGAAAATGCACCACTTCCCTGCCAGCCCCGAGATACAGGAAACTAATGTGCTACCTGCTTTAGTATGTCCCCCCCCCCTCCCGCCCGAACAGCCGAAGCTGACTTTGTCTCTCTTAAAACGGTCTCGGGCGTTTCTATAATTTTACAAGAGATGAGGTTAGATGAATGAAAAAACGCCAGCGAGGCCCGGCAAATGATTTCTAAGGCACGCGCCGCACGAAATTTCCTTACAGCACCTGGAAGACTTGACTTACTTGCGCACCCCACTCTACACCCCCACGCAGTCGCACGGTCCTGAATGTTATAAGCTTCCTAAGGGAGGGGGATCAAGGGAGGCGTGTAACCCAAGGTCCCTAATACCCCCTGCTACTCCCTAAGGCTCCATAATAAGTTCCCCTAGGTACCTACCCCCCATGAACCTTTTCTTCAGGACCCTATAAGTTCGGATGTTTCCCTTATACTAACAGTCCTTGATAGGGATCCTAGTACGGGGTACTATAATCCCTATTAAGGACTGTTAGTATAAGAGTGTACGTGGGAATATCCCAACCTATAAGGATGGCACGGCTAACTTAGCTTTAAGAAGGATTGAACACGTCAGGCTTCTTCATGCGTTTTAAGCCGCCAAACGAAACAATCAGCTTCATACAACCTCAACCTAGCCCCGATCTAACCTACACAGAAACCAAACCCCAACAACCCAGAACTCCAAAAACACCAAAACCCCGAGACCCCAAAACCAAACCCGCTCCCCCTGCCCCCACCCACCCCCCAACCCCCCCCCCCCCCCCCGCGACCACCCCCCCCCGCGACCACCACCACCCCCCACAGCCCCCCACCCCCCCCCCCCTCCCCCACCCCCCCCCACCCCCCCCCCACCACCCCCCACCCCCCACCCCCCACCCCCCCCGTCCCCCCCCCCCCAAAAAAAAAAAGAATAAAAAACTACCCCAAACACTAAAAAACAACCAAAAAGAGAGCCCTCGTCCCACCTTGTCGTCGCGCTTCTGGGGAGGCTCCGGCTTGGGTCCCGGGTCACCGCCGAAGAGTTCTAAGGCGCCAAAGTTAGTCTGCCTGGCCACCTGATTCAAAGCAATTAGGGTTTAGGGTTTAGGGTTCAGGGTTTAGGGTCTTCGGCTCTTAGGTTCAGGGCCGTTTAGGGTTTAGGGCGTTTGTTATCAAAAGTGTACCGATGTACTCTGGCTCACTGTCTGGCATGAGAGGTGCAAAACGACGATAAGCGCCTACGGGCTTGAAGGTCAACGCCTGCTTCTGCGGGCGGTGCAAAACTACACAAAAGGCGCGCCCTAAACCCTAAACCCTAAACGCTAAACCCTAAACTGAAAGGCTTTTTGTCCTGGACTTTTTTGCTCTCGAGGGTTTGGGGTTCGGCGGCTTTGGGGGGACTTCGAGGCCATTTGGGGGTTTGAGGGCTGTTGGGTTGTTTGTAGGGGCTCCAAGGCCTGGAACCCTGAAACACTAGAAACCTTAGGGGTTTAGGGTTTAGGGTTTAGGGTTTAGGGTTTAGGGTTTAGGGTTTAGGGCCCTGAAACCCTAAGCCCTCAAGCCTGAAATACACTTACATCCGAAGCTTCCTGATGTTACAAGCCGACTGAGAGCTCGACCTCAGCGGCAATGTCGTAGAGGAAGCGGAAAGGAGGCTTCCTTGAGGGCAAGTTAGGGTTTAGGGTTTAGGGTTTAGGGCTTGGGGTTTAGGGTTTAGGTTAGGGTTGAGGGTTTAGGGTTCGGCTTTAGGGTTTGGGGTTTGGAGTCTAGGGTACTTCCCTAAGGGAAAGGAATTCCCAGGCAGGGCGTTTTAAGATTTAGGGTGTTTTAGGTAAGGGCTTTTGGGGTTGAGGGCTCCGGGTAAGTTGTAGAAGGCCTCAAGAAGGCATAGAAGTGTAGCAAGGTTTCATGAAAAAAACGATCAAACAGGTGTGGTGGGGGGAATCTCCTGACATGTACCCCCGCCCCCCCCCCCCCCCCCCCCCCCCCCCAAAAAAAAAAAAAAAAGAATCTAGTGTCCTTGGTGCGTTTGGAACTAGGCGGGGCACCCTATGAAAGAGTGACTAATGGTCCATATGCCCGAGGGCATCTGAGCCGTACAGGTACATGAAGCATCAACCCCAAATTTGAGTCCCAATGCGGAGAGCGCTATTGACAAACTTCCTGAACCCTAAGTCCGAAGCCCTGAACCCTAGGCCCTAAGCCCTAAACCCTAAGCCCTAGGTTTAGGGTTTAGGGCCAGTATCTGAACACTAAACGAAGATTTGCAAGGCCGTTTCCAATTTTCGGCAAGAGTTCCTAGTGGGGGATTCCGGGACAAGCTCCAGACAAGAACGCACTGAAGCCGCTGAAACCTGCCCTCTGCCTCTGGGCCCTTTAGCCAGAAGCCGGTGGTTTAGGGTTTCGGATTTAGGTCGTTGGCTCAAGAATTAAAATCTTGAACTCCTTGTTCTTTTGGGGCTTCCGATCCCCTCTTCTTTCTTCAGGGACTGCGCTGAGCACTTGCCTCAGTCTCTCCGGCAGCATGCGTGGGCGCGCGATTCGCGTGCCGAGGGTAGCCTCCAAATCGTGCACACTGCGTGGAGCAGCTCACAGTGAAGAGTTCAACCCTACACCCGCACGGACATTCAACCCCCTCAACCCTAAACCCTAAACCGCATGGGAACCAACGAGCAACTGCAACAAGGTCGGGAGGGGGGGGGTGGAGTGTTCGGCATACCTCTGAAGCAATCCGACCAAGCCTGCAAACACAACAGTTCGACCGCCCTCCGGCCATCGGAAAAAAACCCTGAATGTACTTCTCTTAAACCCATTAATAAGGGAATATTGCTTCAGAAGGGCCTACCGTGCCAAAAGAACTGTGGAGGCACCTGCGTCTGCTGAATCCATGGCTCGGTTTCCTGCGGCGAAGTGGGGCAGGCTTGCGGGTTCGGGGCTTGGGGCAGAAGGACTATCATGGTCGCATCGTAGTTGGGGGTCTTAGGGTTTAGGGTTTAGGGTTCTCACTCAACAATGAAGCTTAACCACGGAAGGAAGTTGCCCCTTATGATGACCTGAAAGACACGCCCTTGCACTCTGACCGTATGCACGCGAAGCGCTACACCCTTCACTGTAAACCCAAGGGTTCCTCTCATACCCCCCTCTATACTTAAAGCCAAATTTAGGCAATGTAGGGGGGGGAACCCTGGGAGTGTAGTATCGAGGGGGGGAAAAGGGAAACCCATGATCAACCCTCAACTGCCTCGGCTGTCTCTGCTGCTTCGGCCATGGCGGAGCAGTTGCCCCCCGAACGCCCCGGAACCCGAAACCCCTGAACCCTAAGTTGAGGGAGTACAGGGTCCCGGTCTACTTAAGGGTTTGAGTGTAGGCGGAAAGGCTGGAAGGGAACGTGTTGCAGCTGGACCGTCTTAGCCGTCTCTCCCAGTTGCGGGCTTTTTGAATGCCCTTGGGGAGTCTTGGCGGTTTGGGCTCCAGGGCTTCACCCTAAACCCTAAACCCTACACCCCTGCTACTATATACCCTAAACATTTTAGGGTTCTTAGCGGGCTTCGGTTGACTGGCCCTGGTCAGCTGGCAAAAAAGCCCTAAACCCTAAACCCTAAACCTTAAACCCTAAACCCTAAACCCCACTGCCACTGAGGGATTCCAAAACCTGAGCCGAGGCCAAGGATGCGCGAAGGAGGGCCCAGGCTTTGGGGGTTAGGGTTGAGGATTTAGGGTTTAGGGTCTGGGATTAGGGTTTAGGGTTTAGGGTGATGGGGTTAAGGTTTCAGGAGTTTAGGGGTTTAGGGGTTTACGGGTTAGGGGTTAGGATTTAAGGTTCAGGGTTGGGCATTTGGGGCCTGGGGGGCAAACTTGCAAGGTTCTCGCTGCAGTAGCGTGCAACGCTAGGATGGCCCAGGTCTTGTTGTTGAGCCCTCAATCTCAAGATTAAACCCCTAAACTCCTGAACCCTGAACCCTAAACCCCTAAACCCTAAACCCTAGGTTTGGGGTTTGGGGCGCGAATATGCTTGCTAGGTGCCGGCCCCGCCACCTCACCCTTCTCCTGAACAGGCTGTGTGCTGCGATTGTATGCACCGCATCCTTTTCCAGCCAGTTGATGGCAGGAGGGGTGGATGCAGGAACACCGGCTTACTCCTAGGCAGGGAAATCGTCGTCTCCGAAGACCTCAGCATAGGGCTGAGGGGTTGTTGGGTCGAGGCTTCAGGGTTCAGTTTGGGGTTTAGGGGTTCTCAGGTTTCCAGGCTTGGGGCATATCGAGACTCAAAAAGCTTCTGTCTTTGCCAGGCGTTGCAAGATTGTCTGTGAAAGCGACAAGTACCCCACGCATGCTAAAGTCTGAAGCAAAAACCATTAAACCCTAAACCCGCCTGAATCCTCCCAGCCCAAAACACTACTGTCTGCTTAAGAACCCCCCCCCAAAAAACAAAATATATATATATATAGAAACATAATAATCCCTATATTCCCCTTACTAAGGAATAATCTTGTTAATTGGTTCGGGGCTCTTAAGCAGTTAGTAGAAAAGCAGGGGGTCAGATCTAGCTCCTGGGCATGCCTGGGCCTGGGTTGTTGCCAGGCAACGTTGATCAAGCTTAACATCAGGATACGAAAGCATGTGCAGAATAAGGTTTAGGGTTTAGGGTTTAGGGTTTAGGGTTTAGGGTTTAGGGTTTAGGGTTTAGGGTAACCCTACCATTTGGCAGGGAAGGAACTTTTTCAAGTAAGCAGGAGACCAGACTAAATGCAAGGGAAACCTGACTACGGCTGAAGTTTCTTAACAAGAACCCCATACCCTGAGGGAGCCGGGCGTACTCGTCATCGTCGTCGTCGTCGTTGTCCGGGAACAGCCCCTGCGGCGCATGTCATGTGATGAGCATTGCTTGTCGGCTTTGAGCCTCACACCTCTGCAGTTCGAGCTGGCGGCGACAATCAAGCATACGAAGAGTGTGAAGACCTGGGTTGGGGGCTTATAGGGTTTAGGGTTTAGGACCTACCACTATGACTATGAGTGGGGAGTGAACCCCAAACCCACACATCTAAGACCGCAAAGGCAGACACCGAACCCTAAGGCCATCTTCCCAAATCGCCTCACAAGCAGCAGAGATTCTGGGTGTAGGGTTTAGGGTTTAGGGTTTAGGGTGCGTACTGCTCTCGCTCCTCTCCCTCTCCCTCCCTCTCTCTCCCTCTCTCTCCCTCTGTCTCCCTCTCTCTCTCTCTCTCTCCCTCTCTCTCCCTCTCTCTCCCTCTCTCTCTCTCTGTCTCCCTCTCTCTCCCTCTCTCTCCCTCTCTCTCCGTCTCTCTCCCTCCCTCTCTCTCCCTCTCTCTCCTTCTCTCTCTCTCTCTCTCTCCCCTTCTTTTCTCACACCCAGAAGCCCTCGTTAACCAATGGCCTCCCCCAAGCTCGAAACTGTGAAGATAACCTTCCAGCCCTGGAGTTTGAAACCCTTAGCCATAACCCAACCCAGCTCCGGCTCTGACCCTGAGAAGGGGGGTTTCGGGCTCAGGGCCCATTCAGCTGTCCGAACTTGGTATCAAAATAAGCATAAGACGGCCTAGGCTGAGTTTAGGGTTCAGGGCTTCGGGCTTAACTGCTTGCCCTTAAACCCCTAAACTGCTTAAACCCTTAAACCCTTGAACCCTTTAACCCTTAAACCCTTGAACCCTTGAACCCCTTAAACCCTTGAACCCCAAAGGTTTAGGGTTTGGGGCTTCGGATGTTTGAAGCTTTGGGACCTGGGGCAAACTCTGGACACCAAGAAGCCCTGCGGCGTATACCGTACAGCTGCAAATTTTCACACACCCGAAACTCTAAACCCTAAACCCTAAACCCTAAACCCGGGGTTTTGAGGATTTAGGGTCGGGTTTTTTAAGGGCAGGTGGGGTCCATAGCATCCGCACCCTAAACCCTAAACCCTAAACCCTAAACCCTGAACATGGCATTCAGGGATTTTCTGTTTTTTTGGGTGGGGGGTCAGGAGTCATGTCGGAGGCGGCCTTCTTTCTCAGGAAGTTGTTCGCTTCCAGAATCATGGGTTCCCGAATCTGCGGGGGGGGGGGGGGGGGGGGGGGGGTGGTAGCGTTTAGGGTTTAGGGTTTTCGGGTTTAGGTTTAGGGTTCAGGTTAGGGGGCGCTTGTGGGTCCTAAAACTCATATGCCCCCAAAGATTTGGGGTTTAGGGTTTTAGGGCTAAAGGTTTGGGGCTTTCGGGCCCTGAAGTCTTAGAGGCTGCTAAGAAGCGTCCAAGGATTCTCCAGCCCATAGAAAGCCCCAGGAAGGAACCGAAAATTGAAACCTTGGCTGTTGAGTGCAGATTCTTCCCCCCCCCCCCCCCCCCACCCCCCAAAAGTGTACACTTTCTAAAACTGTAAAGTGTACTCATTCAGCTACTAAGAAGCAGCTCTCACATGGTCTTGGGCGTCATGGCCATCCCTAAACCCTAAACCCTAAACCCTAAACCCTAAGCCCTAAGCCCTAAGCCCTAAGCCCTAAGCCCTAAGCCCTAAACCCTAAACCCTAAACCCTAAACCCTAAACCCTCTTGTTGCAGGTTCGACCTTCCCCTCTCCCACCCACGCCTTCAACGGGAAGACTCCCTTGTCTGAGTCTGTCTTCACCCTCAGCAGGACATGCAGACCCCACACCCTAAACCCTTTAGGGTTTAGGGTTTAGGGTTTAGGGTTTAGGGTTTAGGGTTTAGGGTTTAGGGTTTAGGGTTAGGGTTCAGGGTTTGGGGCTTAGGGTTGAGGAGCTTAGGGTTGAGGGTTAAGTTTTTGGAGTACAGGGTTTAGGGCTCCAACTAGATCAATCTGTGGAGCTCGAAACTCTTGAACCTCTAAAACGCTCAACTTCGAGGGACATCGCTGGTTACGCCACTCTACGCCAAACCTCTGGCCCTAAACCATAAACCTCAAACCAACCCCTTAAACCCAAAACACGTCACGAAACCCTCAAAACCCTAAGCCCGAAGCCCTAAACCCGAACCAAAACCCTAGACCCTAACCCTTCACCCCAAACCCCCCCCCCCCCCCCCCACCCGCTAACCTTAAAAATCCCTTGACCCCAACCCCCTCCTCCCCCCCTAGCCCTAACCCTCAACCCCAAACGCCCCCTAACCCTAAAAATCTTCAACCTCATGGCTGCGTTTGGCTTGAAAAGTGCCAATGGCCCCAACAGCTGGTCACAGCTCGTCTAGCTTCCGAAGGCTTCGTGTATGATTTAGGGTTTAGGGTTAGGGTTTGGGGTTTCGGGTTTCGGGTTTCGGAATTAGGGTTTAGTTCGGGTTTATTGTTTAGGGTTTGGTGTTTAGGGTTTAGGGGTTCGAGTTCAGGGCTCAGGGTTTGGGATTCAAGGTTTTTAAGGTTTAGCAGACCCTAGATAACCCTAAGCCTTCTGCCGTGAACCCTACACTAATCATAGTCCTAAATTTCTTAACCCTAAGCCCTAAACCCCCAGCCCTATACGTCAATAGGATTTAGGGTGGGTCCCCGGGTGGGTGTTAGGGTGTACAGCACAGCATGATTCGCATTCTCGCCCGGGCACTTTCCGGTGCAGACGGTGTCGCTTGTGCTAACGACCTGTGTTTGAGAGTTCAAAGTTGAGGATTTAGGGTTTGTCCGAGGGTAGCTACATGGTCTCTTATTATGGGCCAGCATGGGCGAACCCCTACGTACTCCTTCTATACATACCACTATAAAACCCAAGCGCCCAAACTTCAGAACGGTAAGGGACCATATTGAGGGACCAGATCACTTCCCTTAGATTGAGGGTTTAGCGTTCAGACTGGAGGGCCTCTCAGCCCTCAACACTACAGCTAAACCGGTTTGGGGTTTAGGGATTAGGGTTAACCCTAAACCCTAAACCCTAAACCCTAAACCCTAAACCCTAAACCCTAAACCCTAAACCCTAAACCCTAGGAGCTTGGAGGGCTGCAGGCTTCCTTTGGTTCTATCGATCCTCTCCTGGCCGTAAGATGGTCCAGAGACATCCTTAACTCTGAATCCGTGCCCCTCGAGCCCCACAGCCCCAAAATTCGACCCACTGACTGGTCATTTATAAGAGCCACAGAACCCTAAACCCTTTGCAACATTGCTTTTGTGCATCAGAATCTCCCTACAGCAGCTATAGTCCCTAAACCCTGATAACCATGAAACCTCAGTTTGCGGTAAAGCCTCTAAGACCCTGGCCCGGGGCCCTTAGAGCAAACCTCAAAGCCAAGAATCTTCATCTCGGGTTTAGGGTGTAGGGTTTAGGGTGGAACTCAGGCT